GTCACATGCAGCCTTGTCTTCTTACTTTACGCTACGCACAGCAGCCTACATTTGATTTAAAAATGAACGTGGTCGACAAAATTCTTAATGATCAATTGTTGATTAGTCGACTAATCATCATCATTCCTAGTTTGGTGACTTGATTGTTGATTTCGAGAAAACCCAAACTGTTTCTCACTTCTCTGTGTTATTTTTTCTCCTTTTTTACTTGTAAAGTACCATGTTTGTTTCTGATGCAAATGAATCTCCAGATCCACTTGTCTTTGTAAAGTTTTGTCAAAGTGTCTGGTTCTGGCTGGTCAAGTAAACGGAACATGTTGTTGAACCCTGTGATGGAAAGCTGCAGATTACGCTGGCTACAGACAGTTGCCAAATTGTACATGTATCACTGGGGGTAGATCAGAGCAATGAGGTCTTGAATACAGGAGTTAAACGATTCCTCAGACATGCATGAATCACTCTAAATGCAACTTCGAATGGGTAAATGGGAAAGGGAAACAATTATAACATGGCTAAAAGTCAATTTTGCATGACATGTAAATAAATAAGTTTTAACAGTGTACAAATAATCATTTCATTTCCATTTGGACCCAGATGTTTGCTGTAATTGCTTTTTCTTGTTTCAGAATTGAGCAGCCGTAGAAACACATAAACACATAAACAACAGCTATTAACTAACATCCAATAGAAATTACGCCCCCTCCCCGTCCCTTCTTTACCCTTTGTTGTTTGAAGCTCATCTTATCTCGATGCTATCAGCGCGAATCATCACAATTTTCACTACGTGCGTGCATTTAAACTCTCTGGCCTTGTTGTTTGAAATGGCCATTCCTGCATTGCCCTTTGAAGGCTCGGATCTGATGCTTTGAGCTCCACTTAGTCCAGATGTTTGGTTTGGGAGAGAACACGCCACTTTGGAGAGTTTCCCACACGCTGTTTGGTGTGGCTGACTCCGCTCTGGCCTCCCAACTTCAAAACAACCAGCGCTAAAAATAGTACAAAGCTTTTAATCATTCGGAGAGGCCTTGTAATGTCTCCGTACAAGAGTTCAACAGCTCTGATGATGAACCGTGGCCTGCCTCGGGCTCGAACTGAAGGGGTCCCTCTCATGGCTCTTCGGTCTGATTCTCACTGACTCAACATGACGTGACATAAAGCAGGCTATAGAGCGCCCCATAGGCCAATCACAGCCCCTGCTCTGATACCGCGGTCTGCGAGAGGCCTGGATGGGGTTTTAAGGAGGACTGAAAAAAGAAAGATGCAAGTCTGGACAAAAAGCCGTAGAAGCACTTAGAGAGCTTGGACCTCTGCCAAGGCGCTGGTGCTGTCATGCAATGCTAAAAATACAGCATTTGCCCAGACTAGGACTCACAGTTCAAAGTTCATCAAGTTCAGTGAAAGTATGATTATTATTATTATTATTTTTTTGTATTTTGTAAACGTTTTCCAATTGTAATGATTATTTTTTTTTAGTTTACCAAGATTAAATGTCCATTGTGTAACTTTTCTGGTGGAGGGTACGTCAAATCCTTTTCTTTACAGAGATCTCATTGCTTTGTCTAGAATGTTTCACAGTTATCGTCATGGAGACCAAACCAGACCAAGTTACAGGTAAAATCTGTGGAGAGGCGACCTGCTCACTGTCAGAATGCTTGTTTTTTAAAGTTTTTCTGTACTGTAAAACCACCTGTAATTGAATAAATCTAGTAGAGCTATTTAATGTCATACTGTGGAACTTTCCAGGCTGGACAATGACATGTCCATAGAAACAAGACCCCCAACCAAAAAGTTACATAGTGCACCTTTAAGCTGGCAGTGCATATTTTAAATGTAGTACAGGGGCATTAATATTTGAGATGAGACTAAAATATGAACCTCTTAAGTAAAATAAGAATCACATCAATTTCAAAAAATGTCAACGTGGTCTAAGCCTTTGTTTCCCAAAGATTTTTTTGGGGTCACCTTGTCACAATCTGCATTTAGATCTGCAGTATATAGTTGTACACCTGGATCTGTGACCTTATTGTCAGTCTGAATAAGCATTTTGTCAGAATATCCTGTTCTCAGTGGGGCGAGTATTTCTATGTGTATTCCTTTCACTGTTACATATGTGTGTGAATTGGGATTTTCCGTGCTCACAAAAAGGAAGACAAAGCACAGAAACAGACTGAATGCGTGTTGCGCTCTCCTCCTGCACCCGGGACAGGCTCACCCATCTCATTAGAAATATTGAAATGTTAAGACGTGTTTTGTATAATTTCAAATCTTTTTCTAATTATTTTATTGACTATTTTGTTCCAATGTTGCTGCTTCAATTGAATGTTGTAAAGAAAAAGAAATGGGCTACATTTAATGTCCAAATAGGCGACTTATGGATCCTTTTATTGCTTGTTCAATTACTGTTTTTCATTGTTTAAAACTTGAGTAATACTAATTGTTCAGAGACACACTCACTCAGTCAACAATAAAATATCCTCATTAATCTTCAGTAATGGTAAATCCACCTTTATTTTGTGATTTACGAATAATGTCGATTGATTTGGGCCGCAAAGGTTTGTCACTTTTAAAATATGGGTCCCCAGAAAAAAAAAAAAAAACTGGTCTAAGCTGCAGGGTTAGTTGTTAGTAGCATTTAGAGACACTTGCATGATTTGCATTTAAAAGCAGTTGAACAGTTTATAGATTTGACTTAGATTTGTGTCTGCGTTAAAGATTGTTTTCCTTGTCTGGAGATTTGGCTTAGAAAATAAGTCTAAATAAGTTGCTTTTATTTGTTGTCAAGCTGTCACCAAAATATGGGCAATTCAAAACAGCTTTTCTACACAGTTTAATATTATAAATTCCATTGTCCTCAGCACGCTATGACTTATCTGTTCTTTCTCGCTGGCCAATTGAAAAACATCAAAATAAACTCCTATCATTACGAAAACTGTTGAAGAATCTACTGCTGCGTCTATTAGCCTCCGTGCTATCACTAACAGACGGTTCTCATGTGTTCCATTGGGCTAACAGGGCAAGGTCTAACCACGACGCCCCGCTGACAAGAAAATACATTCACGGCAGGACTCCTCTACGTGGCGGATTAGCACAGCTCTTTTCAATACAGCAGCGGCAGAACCCATTCCCTAAATAAATTACTTTCTCAGACTGACTTTTTGTAGCCGAATGTTTGTCATTGAAACAACTCCTCTTTCACTTTGACATTTTCCCACTCTCCTGATTTAAAGTTGCACTGTGAAACCTTTCCCACGGAGGGTTTGCCATCGGTTTGTTTCCATGTAGATGTTGTTGTGATGCCTGGAATGCACCACAGCATGGCATTAAACATATACTATGTATTTATCATTGGTTCCTTTGGAGGAGATTTTTCTTGGTTCTTATTTCTACAGCAGGGGTCACCAAACTTTTTTCTCTGGGGGTCACTAAACTCTTTTCTCCTGATTGTGATGGGGGCCGGGGTCGGGTCGGCCGCATAACAGAACTGTGTGACGATGCAGATTATATTCTTTGAAAGCTGCCACACTTTCTTTACATATCAGACAAACTGCACAGTCCTCACTCTGAACAAAAAAATAATCGTCGTCCATGGCTCTTTGAAAACTCGGCACTCTGTCAAGTTTTTTGTACTTTAACACAAGCCATTTTGCTGTCCTTAACTACAGATGTTAATACGTCATATAATCATTTAAATATAAATATAAATACTTCATATAAATATAATTTTTTTATTGCAAAAAAATCAACAACATACAAGGTGCAGACATGTTACTATTTGCCAAAAAGTGACTGACAACTTTTGAGGATTGCTTCATAGGGCCAGTTCAAATGGTGGGGGGCAGAGGGGCTGGGGGACAGTCATAGCGGCATGGAGGGCCGGAGTTGGCCCACGGGCCTTAGTTTGATGACCCCATTCTAAAGTATGCACATACGTAAAAATGTTATGTTTGTAAGTTTTCATGTTACGTTTGTGATTTCTAAAAAGACAGGTTGACATGGAAGTGAGTGGGCTGGTCCAAATATTCTGAACTTTAGTTGTCAAGGTTTTCAAAGATGAGACACGAGGCATCTGTGCTCAGAGAGACCAGGAGTGTGTTTGACCAAATTTTCGTTTTGTTCCTATGTACACTTTTAGTAAGTATTTAAACCAGAACTAAACCTAAAACAGTCTTGTAAACCTGGTTTAATCTACATCTGAACAATGTCCAAATGTCCAATGTCCAGTTTTAACTGGTTTTATATCAGGACTAAACCACACCTATACCCAGTCTAAACTGGTCTACACTATACTGATAAACGGGGTCAGCCCTGTGTTCCCTCATTTCTAAGATTCTAAGAGTCATTTCAACCTAGGACCCTTTGTACCATAACCTCTACATTACATCTGTAGTCAACTCCTGCTGGATAATAGGTTGGGTGGAATTGACGACCAAGTTGGGAGAAATGGGGATAAAATCTGACGCAAATTGATAATAAAGGAAATGTAGGGCCTAATTTTGGGGGGAAAAAAAAAAAAAAAAAAATTAGAAATGAGAGAACATAAGGCTGAGGGAACATAGGCACGCTCCCCTGATAAACCAAGGATTATACAGAAAATAACTAAACAAGATTTCACTTCATTTCATCTGTGTTTTATTGGAACAGATGTGTTATAAAAGTGCTATCGGGATGTAGCCCACCATTAATCTAAATAATGACCAAACTTCAAAAGATTAAAAAAAAAAACAATAGACTAGAACATAATACCTTTTCTACAGTTAGTGAAGTAAGACAGTTAGCAGGTTTAGTGATTGAAGCAATACCAATATTCAAGCAGTACTCATTTTTCATACCACCATTTGAATAGAAAAGCTGTTGCTATTTCCAACAGGAGCTGATTGTATTCTGCCAGTAGCTGCACCACGCATCAGCACGCTACCCACCGCTGCTACATCCATGTATTGTTTGCCAGTGAAGTTAATAAATTTTGAATGAGACTGAACAAGGAAGAAAGGAAGTCCGGGGAAAAGTAGTGTTCTTTTATTAGAGGACACAAAATAAAAATACACATGCCCTGAAATGTTGATACAAGGGCTTTAACATTGGTGTTGCTTTGGTTTAAAGGGACTATATGTAGCATTTTTACCTGGCAACACAAGTCACACTGATATTTAGAAATAAAAAAATACTGTAGTAGTCTTATCCCACTGACTGGTCCATGTGAACTATAAGTACCATATTAGATTGTTTTTGTAGCATACTCAATTGAAATGCTCTAAAGTAGGACCTTATTTCTTATAATACTGGCAACTAAATAGAAAAGTTGTTTTTTTTAACCCTGATAATTCTACGTATAGTCCCTTTAAACAAAACATTACAAAAGGCATATCCATTTTGTTCATAATTCAGATGAGATGAGACACATATGCTCCTTTTAATACCATTGCTACATAAAGTTGTCTCTTGAGCCACCAGTTTCAGACAATGCACGCCCCAGTTCTTTACAGTACATTTTGTTGCTTGGCCTCTGTCCGTGATCAAACTCAACACTCAAACTCACAAGCAGACTGCACCCCGCTATCAGGAGCCATCTTTGTTCTGGTAGATTTGAAATAAGTATCAAGAGACTTGAAACCACATGACCAACAGCTATCTAGAAACAATAGCAGCAAATGTAAGATAAATGTAAGTACATTTCCCAGTGAGTCAGAGCTCCTCCCACAGTCTCCTCAGCCTAAACTAAAGTCACCTTAACACTACAAAATGACACAAAATATGGTTTAGGCGTTGGTTGAACAGAAAAGAACCATAGTTGAGATACCAGTGTCTGTGACAACTGATGGACATAAGGTGCTTCTTCAGCATGTGGCACCGTTCTTTAAGTGAAGGCCAAATATGTCTTTACACAAACCTGCTGCAAAATTCACTCACCAAGCAAACAGCAGATCCTTCAATAGGGACAGATGACAGACCAGGGATAGTACTGGATAAGTTAAGTTGTTCCCATATTTGGTTAAAATGTAAAATCATTACACTTTAGCACAGTGTGGTAGTCTTGGGGGCAGGCAGCTGCATGTGGCAAAAGTTGCAAAATTCATGTATTTAACTGAAGGTTCGGGCTATGTTTTGTCACAATAAGTTGAAAGTTATGATGGCACTTTTAACACTGAAAATAAGCACATATATTGAATACCATGTCTGAAATCACTCCATAATAAAGGATCTGAGTAAAAACACTCACTCATTCACTCACAAAATCAGCTACACTTTTCTACGGACATGAATTTGACAAACATACTGTATCAGGCAGCACGCACACTTTGATTATTGACTGTCCTCTCCTCTGCCCCGGCTGTCTTACTTACAAAGGCATAGCCCAGCGCTTTTCTCTGTTCAGTTCACATTAGTGGGAAGACAGTGCTCAAGGGCAGTGACAAATGAGACCCATTCTTCAAGTATTCCTCTGCTTCGACCTGGCCCCGCGCAGAGAGGCTCCTCTCTGCAAGGCAGCCTTTACCTTGGACTGGGACGGTCGAGCCAAAATACAAAAGTAGATTCACTAATGTCCACTTAATATTCTGTGGCTACCGTGACGAGGGCAGAGATGGGACCTCCAAGGAGTATCTTTGGCCGTGTGTGATTTTCCCTTTTGTCATGAGTGAATGTGCATATCATTAAAGGGGAACACACCTCCAGCTCAAACCACAGTGGGCCGTACCCCATCCCATCCAGCGCCCTTCCCTTTAAGGGCTCAAAGCTCTACAGTAGTCCAGCTGAGAGCTGCTCTTTAGTCAGTGCTTAGTCTAATAACTGTATTTGTTCACCACTCGCATCTGAGGAGTCTGTGGAGAGAACCCATTGGGTTTGGGGGGCACATCAGGCTTTAGGGATGGGGTCCGTTTCAGTCCTGTCCTGGGCAGAGACCCATGCCCACTGTAGCTGCTCTGTCGGGACATAGAGGGCGGGTGACCCCCAGGCCCCAAGTGAGAGTCCAGTCTGGACGGAGGGGTGGGGGGCATGTACCCTCTGTTCATACTGTGTTGGCGGGTGACAGACACCCCCATTGTTACCCCATTTGGGGAGGTGGACAGGGACGCCCGATGAGAGGCACTCCGGTGGAGCTGGTACCTGGGCCGCTCCAGTGTGCCCCCCATGTTCAAGCTCCCCGTGGGGCTGGTGGGGGAGGGGGGAACGGGCACGTCCACCCTCTTGGTGGGACTGTGCCGGGGCAGGGAGGAGGAGGGGGAGTACAGGGATGCCTCACGGCTGGGGACCTTGGGGGGTATTTCAGTCAGTTCCTCCATAGGCTCCAGTGTGAGGTGCTGGCGGGGGCGGGGCCCGCTCTCCTCTTGGATGATGGCATTGGGGTTGGCCACATTGTCGTTCAGATGCTTTAAAAGGTCATTGAGCGTGTTCCTGGCGTCCACAGACCTCTTGGGGTCCTTGTGACTGCGTTTGGAGTCTGGGTTCTTCTTCCTCTCCGATGTCCGTGGCAGTGTATCATCTTCCATGGAGTCCATGCTGGGCTGCTCGTGTGTGGCGTTGGGCAGAACCACTGCACTGGGAATGTGGGAGTGCCCCAAGGCCAGAGGAGTGTGATGGGCCGGAGATGAAGGCAAGAACTGGGGGCTCTTGGGGGTGGAGTTGGACTCCTTACGGGATACCTTCCCATGAGCCCGTTCCCACTGGTTCTTGATGGGCTGCAGGCCCTTCTGCTGCATTACAGGGGTGGACTCAGGAGTGGGCAGGGCAGCGAGCTCCGGGGGCTGGCATCCATCTCTGAGGATCATGGTCTTTGTGTCAGGCCCAGGAGCATTCAGGTCTTTGCTCAGGAGGTTGGTGTACAGCTTAGGACAGTCCATGTTGCTCTGGTACTCCTGGAAACACAAAAGGCTTGTGTGAAAACCCATTCCCAGATTTTCATCTATAACAGTGACGTTGATGAAAGGAGGGGGTTATAATGAGAACTGTACCTTAACAGGGCTGTCGAACAGTCCATTGAGTTTGACAAAGCTGCCGGCGGAGTCGGAGCTGGAGGGCACAGACTCTGGGTCCTTGTGAATCTGTCTTGGCTTTCGGAGGAACGAATCTCGATAACAAAAGACGAAGAGTCCGGCCATGAGCGCACCAATGAGGAAGGCGGCAAACACACATGTGATCAAGATATTCATGTGCACCATCTGGTTAGTGTCCCCTGCCTGGATGTCCCATATACCTAAAACAAAAATATATGATTATGTTAACGCTCTGCTGCATCATCAAAACGGCCTCTCAATCACCAGCTGAAATGTGCATGTTCGTGAAAACACAATCATGCATGGCTTTCTCAGCTAGAACCAGTCAGCCACAACAAAATCCCATACATATTTGTCCATGAAACACAAATGGAAGCTGTTATAGGTACCCACATCCGTCCAGCAGCTATAAGAAGTGCTATGTTAGTCGAGAAACCTTGATTGTTTTTTTTTTTGCCATGCGTTTTACCAAGGGGTTAGCTGCGTGGTCTTATCTTAGGTGAGAGAGTCCAATCGATCAAAAAGCTGTTAAGGAGAAGATTGGCACGTTTGTCTTGAAGAGAGTTTGTTAGTAACCACAGACATTGAAAGAGTTAGTCATTCCAGTACAGCCACTATAGAGACATCAGGCCCAGACAATGATTTACCAGCCCACAGCCATATTGTTACTACAAGTTGAGTTAATAGATCTACACCGGCAGCCAGAAAGTAAACAAAAGAAAAAGTGCCAAAGAATCAATAAGAAAAGTAAATGAAAGGCTTAATGATTAGCAAAAGAAAGAAAATGTGATTGTACTACATGTTTACCAAAAAGGAAAAGTAAAGAATAGATTTTAAGATGTGATCAAAGTACAAAAAAATGTCAATATCAAAGCATAAGAAGTAACAGTTAATTATAGATAAAATAGATAAATAGAATGTGTAAAAAAATAAAATAAAATATTGCTGTTGCGTGACAAAAATGTGTTTTCCAGTTTATACAACAATATTGTTTAGATGGGTCATGTGTAGTTTGGCTTACATTTAACACCAGATGCCCTTCCAGATAAAATTGCACACATCTATTTTTATCCAAACTTGGGACTGGAAAAAGTTGTTACTGGATTATGACGTAATAATTAAATAATTGCTGTTTCTTTATGTAATGTGCAGCTATAAATACAATTGGATTTGATTGGAAATGTGAGATCCACAGTGCCAAGCATCAGCAATATCTGAATAAACATAATAGAAATATAAACTGCCATTAGGTGCATTGATCTGTATAATCTAATGAGCTGCTACATAGAGGAGCTCTTGAGGAAAGTGCTTTAGCTGCTTTCCTTTGGGCCTTACCCTCTTCCCCTTTTGAGCCTAAAGAATTGGACGTGGAGGGGTCGTCCTGCAGCACAAAGCCCTGGTCGTACAGGTCTGGACTGGGCACAGAGCTGGGGGTCTGAGTGGGCATGTCTATGGGGGGCAGAATATGCCCTCCGCGGGGCCGCCCTGTGACGGGCATGGGGGACAACTCCATGTCTGTGGTGACAAACAAAGGGTTAACACACTTGAGCAAGACATGTTATTTTGTCTGGGTTAGTAGCAACAACAAGTCACTTTTGTTGTTAGTTTTCAACTTTGAACAATTATTCATTAGCTGTGGCAGTCCAATAGAAATACATTGATTGTTTTGAGGGAGAAAAGTAAGGAGTTGGTACACAGCAGAGGAGATGATTGGGATGGTGCTCGGTCATGCGTGAAGGGGTGATAAAACAAAACAGAAAGTCAAAAAACAAAGAAAGTGATTTTTTTTTTTTTTCGTAGAGAAAGATGTGCACTGAATTGTTTTGGGGGTGATTTGAGACAATGATAATGAAGCAATGTGACGATAAGCATTCAAGGAGTGACATCCAGAATGACAAGGCGGTAATGGCGGTGGTGGAGACTGAGAGACTAGGTTTGGAGAGGCTGAACTCAAGGTAACATACACCATTTGAGTAAAAAGATCAAACTAACCAGAGGTAGGATCGCCAAATGATTTGTAATCGGGAGCAGACGTAGTGCCCACAAATGCTAAAAGAATTCAAAGGACAAAGTAATCAGCATTAAGGGCATTCAGAAGCTAAGAGTCTAAAAGCTACTTCTTGAGTGGAGTTTATTTTCTTTAGTGATAATGACAAAAAGCACTCCTTCACTGTGTCCTTTAGCTTGCTCTGGGTCTGATCAATATGAGGTTCAACTGCGGTCGTGTTCAGCTGGTATCAATAAAGAAACAACCTTTTAAAAGTAAAAATACTATGGTGTTTTCTTTAGCCATAGACCATAGACTATATATATATATATATATAAATGGACATACGTAGGCTCCACTGACTCAGCTACTGTTGTCTTTACATTGTTAAACTGTCGCCCCTCTCTCTGTAATTGCTGCAGTGAACCTCGTCGTTTTGGTCTTAAAATGTTCGTATTAACCCACTCTACATGATCCTAGTGTTTTTATTTCACTATTTTCTATGTTAATTCTTCCTGGCTCCAAATTTGCTCTTATAACTGCAAGCCTCGATGAGCTTTATTTGACTGAACGCCATGGGTGACGCTCCCTTAGTCCACTTCTTTAAACAGTCTATGCCTTAATGTTATTAAATTAAAATATACTCTCACATTTGTACCAGTTGAGCATGATTCCAGTGTACATGTCCAGCATTGTGGCATTAGTTAAAAGGATTAAAAGGAGGGTCATGTACTTTATTATAATAGGCTGCACTGACCATAACATTATAACCACCCAATAATATGACTTTACATTAAGCCGTGATTGAATATGTGGTGTTTTCTGTGGTCGTAATGTTATGGTCAGTCAGTGTGAGCAGGGAGAGTTATCAAAAGGGGATTACTTAAAGAGTGCAATGGTTTGTGTTCATATGTTTTTGTAAGCAGTTTTTTTTTTTTTTTGTAATAGATTTTGGTTATTTTGTGAGATATAACGCAGTATGGAGATGAGAAGTTTTACCTTGACAGTCTCCCAAATGAGCAGTGTTTCCAAGTTCAACATCTTGCTCAAAGCCATTTCTAAAGATGACACAGACAGAAATATTTACTAAAAAGATATCTCATTTACTTTGAATTATTTATGCCTTAAAATATTCAAACTTACGCAACACCAGGCGGGATCCTCTCGCAAACTCCACTGGCCTTCCACCCACAATATGGGTCCCTCGAAGCAATACATGCCCTATTTTCATCAAAACAAACAATTGGTTAAAGGTGGTTTAATATTTCCTAGACTATAAAAGTATTCACATGTTAAAGATTAACTCCGGACTCCCACGATGGAAGTAGTGGTAAAACTTTGAGAAACATTTACTGAACCAGGTCTAAATCAGGACTATACCAGAACTAAACCAGGTCTAAACTAGGACTAAACTACCACAGCACCATGACTTTACAATCACTTACTACTTACTACTTTGTTTTGAATTTGTAGAGATTAACTTAAAAAGCAAATATAGAACAAACCAGGACTTAACCATAACTAAACCTATCCATAACAAATAAAGAACCCCAGGTACCACCAGCATCGCCCATATCAACACTACAATGCTCACTACATTGTTTTGAATTGGTTAAGGAGCTCCAATAGGCCCAGGTGGAACTAGTGGTACTACTTTTATAAACCAGATGTAAACAAGGACAATTCCAGCTCAAAGCCAGGTCTAAACTTGTTATTATATGCTAAAAGAATCCCAGGTAGCACCAGTTTTACTTATACTATAATAATGGATTGGCACTCTATTGCTCTCTAAATGAAATCCAAGTACAACCATTTCAAAGCACATCGCATTTTGTTGTAACTTGTTAAAGATCCAATATTCCACAAAATGGCAAAAATAGAGTCTTATGAGCTTTAAGTTATGTTAAAATGCTGTTGCCTCATCAAAAACATACCCAGAGTTGTGTTTTGTTTAATTCACACGTTTGATTAATCCTGCGTTATTAGTCTGTCTATGTCTCCAGCTCATAATGCTTTGTTCCACCTTCTGTTGAAGTTCCTTTTACCCTTACTTCAGAAGAAACTGGCAATTCCAGGGCTGAAATTACTCAAATGATTCCAGAGAAGGTGTATGGGGTTTAACACAGTGGACATCACGAGATAGAATAGAGACTTTTCCGTTGGAGAGAGCCTCAGCCTAAATATGCAGGGTTTGTGTGCTGAACATGTGTGAAAGAAACAAAACACAACTCCAGGTATGTTTTTTTGACAAGGTAACAACAACCGAGATCAGAAAATACCAGAAAATGCAGTAATTGCTATGGTAACAGTCCAACTTTTTCACCAATCTAAAACTGACAGATACCCTACATTGTGTCAGTTCTTACTTTTGACAGTGCGAGTGCCTCTCACAGCGGCTGAGGGGCAGGCGGATGACGCAGCTGGAGAACGCCACGTACAGACTGTGAGCTTCTTTGTCCAAATGCAGAGACAAAACACGTCTGTCGTCCTCACGGCTGGACAGGCACCTGGGACACAGAGGGACGAAACCTGATCAGAGCCCCATCTGATAACGCTGATAACACTGTCTACTGTTGCCGTCTCAGTGGATTGAATCAGTTGTGAGGTGGCGGTGCATTTTGTCAGCAACAATTTAACCTTTTAACACAACGGGCCCCAAAGCTCCCATTAAACCATTCATGCATTTAATCTTTTGCCTGCTTTTATTGTCCTTTTATTGCTGTAGAGGTCATGAAGAGACAGAGCTTATATTGCTAACTACAGGCTTATGACTGGGCACTTTCGCTAAATTCTATCAAATATTAATAGGAAGTTGATATATTTAGGTTTTTTTTTGACATTTGTTAATTTGGACCTTTCAAAACAAGGTCTCAAACTTACAGTATTAAACCTATATTTAGTTGTTAATTGTGGGAATTGAGTTTACCTTTGTGAATTAATCAAAATAATCTAAACTTAAGTCAGAAGTGGGACCAAGTCATTGTTTTGCAAGTCTCAAGTCTCATGTCTTTGACCTCAAGTCCGAGTCAAGTTCCAAGTCAAATACAGGCAGGTCTGGAGTCACTAGCCCATAAGTCCAAGTCAAGTCTAAGTGGTCTGCTTTGAGCTTCAAGTCATTTCAAGTCTTTAAACCAAAATCTTAGTGTGAATCATTACGGTCAGAATAGAAAGTCTTCTCAAGTCACAGGGCTCAAGTCCAAGTCAAGTCCCAAGTTATTGAGCTTCAAGTCCAAGCTGAGTCCCAAGTCTTGGTCTGTTTTATGAAATCAAGTCTCAAGTCCTGAAAATAGTGACTCAAGTCTGACTCGAGTCCAAGTCACGACTTGCAAGTCCCCACCTCTGACTTGAGTAATTTCAGTTATAAATATACACTGAAACAACTTCCCTCTAGTCAGTGAAGTGTAACTAATGTTGACAATAGATACACATTTTTTAACAGCTTTTTGTCCAAATGCTGACACAGAAACACAAAAAACAAATACTGAACAAAAAAGAAATTAAACTCAGACAGTAGTAAAAGTTAAAGTTAATGGTGTACTTACTTGGCCTTGTTGAAGACGTCTATCTCCTCCAGTAGGACGCTGTCGTTCAGAGAGGAGGTGGTGGTCTTGGCCAGGACTTTGAGCAGGATCCCGGACTCAGACCCGATGAAGACCACGGTGTAGTTCTTAAAGGGTCCTGCCTCGTTGTCCACAGCCAGCGCAGTCATCCTGTACCTGGAGAAATAAAATGTGAGGATTACAATTTGTTGATTTGTTTCAAGTCAAAATATAGCGGCTGTTCTACTTATGTATTATATTCAACACAGAAATAAATTACTATATGGGCTCCTATTCTCACTACTACTCCTACTACTACTACTACTACTACTACTACTACTACTACTACTACTACTACTACTACTACTACTACTACTACTAAAACAGAAACTACTGTGCTATAAACAGAAATCACACATATTTGGGCTCCTACTCTCATTACTACTTCTACTATTACTACTACTACTATTATTACTACTTCTATTACTACTACTACTACTTCTACTACTATTATTACTACTACTACTATTACTACTATTACTACTACTACTACTACTACTACTAGTGCTACTACTAAAACAGAAGCTACTGTGCTAAAAACAGAAATGACGAATATTTGGGCTCCTATTCTCATTACTACTACTACTACTACTACTACTACTACTACTACTACTACTACTACTACTACTACTACTACTACTACTACTACTACTACTACTACTAGTGCTACTACTAAAACAGAAGCTACTGTGCTAAAAACAGAAATGACGAATATTTGGGCTCCTATTCTCATTACTACTACTACTACTACTACTACTACTATTACCACTGCTAGTACTACTAATTTCAAGCATAAACGTTTATAGTATTTATTTAACAATGATCAAGTAATATTCATATTTATATACTACTACTACTACTACTACTACTACTACTACTACTACTACTACTACTACTCTTTTTGATGTAAATATTGTCTGTCCATAATACGTTTTTTTTCTTTATTTACTTTACTAAACATAAAACAAAACAGATTTAAAAGTGTCCGTGCACGTTTTCGTACCTGACTCTGGTCTTGGTGAACCAGGGTTCATCGCGGATGGAGGGCACGGCCGTGTCCATGAGCGGGTGAGACTTGATGAACTGCAGAGTCTCATCTGGAAACTCCACCGAGCTCTTGAGAGACGCAGCTGGACCGTGACCCGCACAGCAGCCGGGCCTAAACACAGGGGGGTGAAAGGTCAAAGGTCGGCCTGTATGATCACACTCCAGGGACCCGTCATAATAGCGTGCATTGAGACTGATGGAAATAGTGCGGAGGGGAGCAGGTGCTTTAAGATCACACAAAGGTCGGCCCCTCTTTTCAGACATAAATTATACATACACCCCCGTTATGCATCATCAATGATTTACAGTACTAATGAGGTTGGACTTTGTCATTTGGATGGAAAGAAACACTAAACATAAACATGGTGATTGTCAGTAGTGGAAAGTAACGAAATATACGTAGAAAAGGGCTGTACTTAAGAAAAATATTAGGTATTTGTACTTTACTTGAGTACATTTTTAAGTGTCTTTTACTTCACTACATTTGAGAGCAGGTATTTGTACTTAAATTTCTGAACAGGACTGAAAAGAAAAAGTATTTTTATCACTGGCTGAAAAGGCCAAGGGTTAATTTGTAGACAACTTCATAATTTTAGCAAACAAAATATCCAAATAAAATCAGTTTGGGGAAAAAAAATAAAATAAAATCTTAATTTCAGAATTCAGCACAAATCTGTATGAAAATCACATTTAAAGCTACATTAGATGTCAAAATCTGTGTGAAATACATTTACTTTTTACTCATACTACTTTTTTCATGTGATACTTTTAGTTTTACTTGAGTATTTTTCACTCCAGTATCTATACTCTTACAAAATTCAGTAACTTCTTCCACCACTGGATCATTGTAAACAGTTTAAATATGCAACGTGGCTAATTATTCCTCATTAATTATTCAGTGATGGCAGATGGGGTGTGTGTGTGTATCGGGTCATAACTAATAAACCAGCCGTTACGTGAAATGGCTTCAACAAGAGATTTTAAGAAGCGAGGTTGGGGTTAGTATTGTCTTTTTAGCAGGGGTCAAATTTAATGGCGAGTCCAAAATTACTCAATTAGTAGCGACTTGGGCAATTACTGCTGAAGCGTTGCGTGGAGCTATATCAGATCACTTTCTCTGTTCCACTCGGCAGGTAATTGCTTCGGGGCGTTGTTAGATGTTTTATGGCTAACATCAATTCTTCCAAACTTCCAACACCGTAACAAGTCTGGATTTAAATGCCATGATACAGAAAAACGTCGTAATTACGTTCCAGAGTTACCCAAGGACATTGTAGTAAATATTTCCGCGTATTTTAACTCCTTCGTACCGTGGTTTGGGGAGTTTCTCGTCTGGGAATGGGGTCCAGACGGAATCGGGGGTCTTCTGCTCCTTGAATCGTCCCATGAAGACTTTCTCGATATCGGCCATGGAGAACGCACAGACTGCTGAACCTGGGATACTGTTAGAAATAACACAAAATACAGGTTAGATACTTAGTTTAATAGTACATGGAACATCTAACTGAAAATTTTTTTGCCTGAAATGTTCCAGGCTATGGTACTAATAAATTATTTCAACTTCAACTATCTTCAGCTATTACATTTCAGGTATTTTTATGTTTAAAAATATACTTTCTTTTGGTGGAGTGACTCACTTTTCTCCTTTTGGATTTTAAAGTTTTATGACATTTTGTGGAACATTTCAAAACCCAAACCATAAAAGACAGTTTTGGAACCTCCACCGAAAACAGACATCATGCCCATTTAAATCACTTGTAAAAACACCAATACTATAAATAACGAAACAAAAATAGTACAGTTATTAAAGGGACAGTCTGGAATTTTGGACATAGGACCTCATTTCCTAGTGAACCAGAGTGTTGGAGATGTGTGGAGACACTTTTTAAAATATTCCATCCAGTCTTTGTATTTGCCGAGGTCGCTGGTGCTAGGCTAGTGCATGTCAATGGCCATAGTTAGTCTGCCACTAAAAACAGTCTTACCCACTCCACAAAACACCCAAAGCAAATCTATTATTACACCAGACTGTCGATGTGAATGTCTGTGTTGATAGAATAATGTTTGAAAAAAAAACTAACCTTGCGTTGCATGAATCATCGCATGTCTGGACTATTTTCTCATATATCAGTCCGCCGCTGCCGAGCTTTCTATCAGGAAGTACAACTCGCTGCTGTTGCTCTGACATAAATACTTTAAATGTAAAGTTGGTTTTACTTCTAAAATTATTTTATCAACACAGACATTCACATCGACAGTCTGGCGTTATAACTATTTTGTCTCGGATGTTTTGTGGAGTGGGTAAGACTGCTTTTAGTGACACGCTAACTATGGCCATTGACATGCACTAGCCTAGCTCCAGCGACCTCTGTAAATACAAGGACTGGATGGAATATTTTAAAAAGTGTCTCCACATGTCTCCAACACTCTGGCTCACTAGGAAATAAGGTCCTATGTCCAAAAATACCGAACTGTCCCTTTAAACTGTATTGAACACCAAAAAATTAAATCAACTGAAAATGAACAATAAAAGCATAATAAATTAACAAAACAAAACAAAACAAAAAAATCAACAGATAAAAGCCAAAAGGTGGGACTAATGAAGTAGACAGACTGACATTATTCATTATTACATCTGCAAACATTGATTTAGACATTGTATTACTACCAAAGCTAATCCAATCAACTAATCTGAACATTAAAAAGATTAGTTCCAACTCATCTCGATCGCCTCCAAAACGCCTCTTGATAAATTTGTCCAATTTGTCTTAGTAATGACACATAACACGCCATTATTCACTCTAACCTGTTCATCTGAGTGGTGAAGACCCCGACCACAGATGGGACCCCGTTAATGTCGATGATGTCTGTGATGGACTGGAGGACATCGAAGTAGAAGAAGGACTCTCCCGGGACAGAGCAGTTCAGTCTGGCTTTTACGAATGACGTCCAATGCTTCTCCAAAACCCGCTGTGACCCGCCGACGTCATTCTTACAGATCCGGGCCACTCGCGAATACACGACCTGGGGAGGAGACGGGGAGAGGAGAGCTTAGAGAGGGAGAAGCTAAAACACAGCATCAATAATGTATCTGCCGTGGGTTCTGCTCATTTTAGGCGGCGTTCCCATTTAAACACTCACACGAAAGATGGGACTAAACTGGCACTGAACTCGGGACTAAACCAGGTCTAAATCACAACTAAACTGACAAACTAAGAAAAAACCCAGACAAGACCCTGGAAGAACTTCTTAAACGACAACTTCATTAAATTAAATTTCCTTTTAGATCATTTAAATCCCACTGATAACATAATTTTCATCAAATCACTTGAGGAAGGAGCAATGCTTAGAAATGATTCACGCCATCCAAATATTAAGTGGAACTAATATGTAGTAGTTTAACTCATAGAGAAATGTGTATTAGTCCTGGTTTAGTCCTGGTTTAATTCTGGTTTAAATCTGGTTTAGTTTTAGTTTAGTCCTGGTGTATTTCTGGTTGAGTGTTGGTTTAAATCTGGTTTAGTCCTGGTTTACTTCTCGTTTAGGACTAGTTTAGTCCTGGTTTAATTCTGGTTTAGCCCAAGTTTAGTCCTGGTTTAGTTCAAGTTTAGTACTGGTATAGTTCTAGTTTATTACTCCTTTAGTCCAGGTTTAGTTCTGGTTTAGCCCTGGTTGAGCGCTGGTTTAGTTCTGGTTTAAATCTGGTTTAGTCCTGGTTTAGTTCTAGTTTAGTACTGGTTTAATTCTGGTTTAGTTTTCTGGTTTAGTTCTGGTTTAGTCTGGTTTAGTTCTGGTTTAGTCCTGGTTTAGTTCTAGTTTAGTACTGGTTTAATTCTGGTTTAGTCCTGGTTTAGTCCTTGTTTAGTCCTTGTTTAGTCATTGTTTAGTCATTGTTCAGCCCTTGTTTAGTCTTGGTTTAGTCCTTGTTTAAAATAATCTTAAAATAAAAAAACCCTTGTGCTACAGACTACAACTTTTCAGTAACAAAAATGGCATGAATACTTTCTTCCCTTGCCGTTTCTTAAGTCTATTAACTGTAAACTTGTGTAAAACTATACAACGTTGTAACTAATAATAATAGGCTTCTTTAGCATTGCCATCAGGTTTTAAAAAATCCTATTCGCTCATGAACGTCACATCGCTTTGAGAGAGCCACTAAAACACTTCTGCGTCTTCAATAATGCATCACTCCAGGCTTAAACTCACAGATGACTTCACACGGCCATCTTTGTGCTGGAAAAGTGTTGGGTCTAACTGGAGCACAAACATTAAAAAATGCTCATTGCGGCGCTGTGTGGATGTGGAGCGTTCTGGAGGGTGTGTAAACGCAGCCAGAGACGCAGTTGGTTCAGACATTTTGAATAATTTACCAATGCAAAGCTCCGTCAGAGGCCAGGTGTCACCCCAGCATTAGTCCAGCTGAAATATTTATGAGCGGGCTGCTGATGGAGGACTTCCTGTTTTAGGACGAGTCTCGGTCAACAATGAAGCTGAATTCAAATATGGGGCGTTTTTATGTTGTTTAATGCACTATACTGAAATCTGTAGTCACACCACAGACTGTATAAACATGTGGGCCAAGGGAGTTTGACGTCACCCACAGCGTTTGGCTCCATTCAAATGAAGCTCACCAAGGCTAGCAGTTATAAGGATGAATAAAAACACCAGGATCACGTAGAGCTGGTTAATACGAACATTATAAGACCAAAACAAGAAGCCTGACAGCAGCAGCTAAAGAGAGAATGGCCACGTTTTCTCAATACAAACAAAATAGGAGCCGGAGTCAATGGAGCCGGAAGCGCGCCCATGCTTACTTCCTATTTGGAAAGCAGCGGCTCGTGGGAATGTAATACAACAACAACTAGGGATGTAATAATAACCGAAATACTCGTAAATATCGTAACGTCAAAAATCTCACAGTAATATCGTGGGCTGTCACAATATATCGAATTACAAGTTCCTTTGCTTAAATGCCTTGTTTTATAGTAGCAATAGCCAATAAACATAGGAAACTACATATCCCATGATGCATTTCAGTGCAGACAACATGAAGAAATATGTTTTTTACTTGAATTCTTAGGATTATGACAGTAATAATTCACACCCAAATCTTGTCAATGTATTTTAAAAGTAAAAAGTGTCCTTAGCCTCTCCAAAACATTGCAATAAATATCGTAACGTGAGATACATATCATGAAAATATTGTATCGAGAGATTTGGATATCGTTACATCCCTAACAACAACCCAAAACAAGTAATTTATGTGGTTATGTTGGACCATGACAAGATCTACCCAACAATTTATGAGTTTGTTGAGAAGTTAAAATTTTACTTTACAGTAGATCTTTTATGTGATGTCATTACTTTAGCAGGAAAAATCCACATTATGGCATTAAACATATCTAAACAATGACCTTGAAAAGCATGCCTTATTACAGTGAGTGGGCTTGCTTCTCCACAGATCTAAGCTGTGACTTGGCCTATTGGCGGCATTTGTTAAAAGCCGTACTATGGAATATTCTAGGCAAAGCTGTAACATCTCCATGGAGACAAACAGGTGACAGAGAAGTGACAACGTGCCCCTTTAACACGAACACAATGGAATTCTCGGCATTAGAAACACAGCGGTGGTGGAATGTGCAAGATTCTTGTCACCCTAAAACATCTGACAGCTCCTGTAGAGCCAGTTAACAGTTAACAGTCACTGTTAAGACCACATATATACACCATGTCTAATACCATTTGGTGTCTTTTCCAGCTTGAACAGAACCTTCAATTACACAAAAATCACTTAAACTGAAATTTGGCTGTGATATGAACAATTTTGGGCTTCATTGAACGTGTGAGACCAAAGCGTGCAATCTCCTGGAGACAGATCCTCTCCCTGGGTGAAATGGTTTTAGTACATTAGCAGAACATTCACAGGAAGCTCTCGCTGTTGAAATTTGCCGTACATCCTGTCATCACCCAAACAAAAAGGACTCGGGCTGCTCGGTGCCAAAGACTGACTACAAGCCCATTTTCTGGCTAGCGTCCCTCCTCTCCACACAGAATATGTAATAGCTGCTGAAGCGGTGATTTGCAAAGTTTTCACACCACGTACCACCTCTGAGAAAATATTTGGCTTTCAATATCAGCGTTAATGGGCTGGAAATGGGCATTAAAAAAATCAGGACAAAGCAATGACGGACGAAGCAAGGTTGAAACCGTGACTAAACCGGAATAAGCTTGGTCATGCGACAAGGATTAAAATGTAACGTATTAATATAGGACTAAACCAGAACTACTTAAAGACTAAGAACTATGACACACTTGAATCAAGTCTGAATCAGAACTGTGTCACGTTAATAATCACCTTTTATTCATCGTAACCGTAATATTAGAGATAGACTGATACTGGTTGGCCTAAATATCACGCTATATCAGCCACTATCAGCCATAAATCTCCAATCGAGGCAGATGTTTTTTTTCTTTGGCCCAACCTCCAGCCTAAATCTGCATGAAAAATCTATGCATAAAGCTTTCATTTAGTCTAAAGAGGATACTGCAAAAATATGACTACTCTGGACTCTGCACAGTTTGTAGTAAAAGAAGGTTGTGGATGAGTTTGTACATTTGTAAATTGAGTTCGATAATTTGAGAAAAATTACCTAAATTGGCCCAAAATATCAAAAATATCATCAGAGGTCAGCAGTTCCTCTGGATTCGAAACAATCGGTATCGGCAATAACCATGAAAAAATGCATATTGGTTGATCTCTAGTACATATCTGTATATTTGATTCTTATTTGAGCTATTTTTGCTGCTTATTTTGAAATGTATTACCATTTACTTTTTATCTTTTGTTATTATATTGTAATTTGTGGATCAAAGTTTGTCTAAGTCTGAATCTAATCACTAAACCAGGACTAAGAACTTTATTTTCCTGGCCTAAACCAGAACTAAACTAGACCAAACCAGGACTGAACCAGACGTAACCCAAAACATGAACATGAACCAACATCTGGGGCCAAAGCAGGTTTAAACCAGAACTAAGCCGTGATGGTGGTAATTGGGGTTACAGTTACCACGCTTTGAAACCCACCACAGGCAGCTCCAAATGAGAGGTGTTTGTGGTCTTACCTTGCCCAGATTGCTGTGCTCCACGGCAATCTCGCGGTAGAAAAAGTACACATAATTCCCGTATTCTGCTGCGTGCAGGAAATGGGGCTCTGGAAGAAGAGGGAGAGAGAGAGAGAAGGAGAAAAAGAGAGAGAGACCGTTGAGAAGTGTATTTGTGCAGCGTCACCACCAGCAGAAGCACAGTGAATCTTGTTGAATATTTCAGGGATTTGTACAAGCTGTATATGACGAGGGGTGACCTAGATTGCCTGGGAGGGAGCTGGCCATATCCCCTTCGGAGCTTGGCAAAAGAGAGAGGGGAAAAAGGAACATTTTAACTTGCCAAAAACAGATCTGACAACCGGTGCAGACTTGATACAAAGCACCATTTATCATAGGGTGTTTATGGAGAGGTTTAGGAGAGGAGAGGCCAGTCGGCTCATTTTTCCTCCCTGTATCAGGCCCTAACTCATGAATGAAAACTACAGCTGCACTATTACAGGGTCTGAAGTTGTTTTAAGTAATTTGATCACGTTTAAAAAGATTTGATGTTTGGCATTTAGTTAAAATACTGGATAAAGTTTAGCATCCATCAATATAAGCAAGACTAACAAGCTGTTTTAAAGGTGCATAACTTCTCTGGTGAAGGTCATGCACCTTTCTTGTCTCCATCAAGATGTTTTGGATTTGCCTTGCATCATTAAAGGAACAGTCCAGAATTTTGGATGTAGGACCTTATTTCCTAGTGAGCCAGAGTGTTGGAGACATGTGGAGACACTTTTTAAAATATTCCATTCAGTCCTTGTATTTGCAGAGGTCGCTGGTGCTAGGCTAGTGCATGTCAATGGCCATAGTTATCCTGCCACTAAAAACAGTCTTACCCACTCCACAAAACACCTGAAGCAACACAATTATAACACCAGACTGTTGATGTAAATATCTGTGTTGATAGAATCATTTTAGAAGTAAAACCAACCTTGCATTTGAAGGAATTAAGTCTAAATAGCAGCAGTGAGTTGTACTTCCTGCGGTGGACTGATATATGAGAAAATAGTCCCTCAACATGCAACGATTCATGTGACGTAAGCTTAGTATTATTTCAAACATTATTCTATCAACACAGACATTTACATCGACAGTCTGGCATAATAAAAGATTTGCTTGTGTTTTGTGGAGTGGGTAAGACTGTTTTTAGTGGCAGGATAACTATGGCCATTGACATGCACTAGCCTAGCACCAGTGACCTCTGCAAATACAAGGACTGAATGGAATATTTAAAAAAGTGTCTCCACACGTCTCCAACACTCTGGCTCACAAGGAAATGAGGTTCTGTGTCCAAAATTCCAGACTGTCCTTTTAAAAAATACAGGACAAACAGGTGTTGCCACTAGGCCAAGTTACAAATCGGATCTGTGGAGACTCATGACTTGCAAAAAAAGGTTTTACACGATAGTTTTGAGCTATAAAAAGATATTAAAGTTATTAATGTCATTCAGGGAAGCAGGTGCCAACTGACTGTAATAAATGTTACGGAGCGCACCTTTAAATTAAAACTATATTCAAAGTTTTTAGATCGTGAATGAACTAGATTTAAATTAATGATTAGGATGTACTGTAGTATTTGGTATTTTATCGTGTAGAACGTAGTTGTTTTTACATATATTTTATTTTTGGCTGCCATTTAATCTCTATGCCTGAATAATTAAAGAGGTCGCCTTGGAAACTATACCTTACAATATACCCTAAAACTTAAGATAAGTTTTGTTGAAAACTTTGCGACTCTATCTATCCCTTATATAGCGTTGGAAGTGGAGTGGCTGGGGCTTGTTTTGTGATTGCCGGGAAGCGAAGTGAGGTAAAAATGATGGAGACTGATGAGGTGGCTTACCTTTGAGCCATTTGGAGTCATATTTAATGGTCCTCAGTGCCGATCCATCTCCCATGCTCCGATAGATGACGGAATCACTCGCCTGGAAGTCTGCAACTGTGGCAGAATACAGCTTCCCCTCTGGAATAAACCAAAGGATCCATTACAATTTGACTATGAGCTGCTGTGTCCACATAGATTAAGTCATGGGCTATAATGTCAGAGTTTTAAGGTTTTTAGGTGTTTTGTTAGATTAGAAAAGCATTTGTAGTGACTAAAGTGGTCATTACTTGTGCTGTGTTTACAATTCATTTAGTCTTGGTGTAGACTTGTTGTTGTGGTCCTGGTTTCATCCTGATTTAGTCATGGTCTAGTCCAGGATTAGGTCCCAGTTTAGTTTTATTAGATTAGAAAACCATTTGTAGTGATTTAAGTGGTCATTACTTAAAAGTTGTGCTGCGTTCACACTTGATTTGATCCTGAAGTAGACTAGGTTCAATTCTAGTCTTGGTTTAGTCCAGGATTAGGTACTAGTTTAGTTCTGGTTTAATCCTGATGTAGACCTGGTCCGATTCTAGTCTTGGTTTAGTCCTGGTTTAGTCCAGGTTTAGTTCCCACTTTAGTCCCAATTCGACTTGTTCAAGAAACTTTGCAGAAACAATTATTTTCTGATATTTTTTTTTTTTTAGTATCATTGTGGTACCAAAATAAATATTGATTATCAAGACTTTTCCTTAGTTTTGTAAATGCAATTATGAATTCAGCCCAATTCAGAAAATATCCAGAACTAAACGAGGGCTAAATCAGGTCTGCGTCACAACTAATCCAGGATTACAGCCCCAAGACAAGGTCTAAAACCTCAAGAAGAGAAACCATCCCCAAGGCAACAGCTAATGTGGATCCTAATAAACATACAAACTAAACCAAACCAGGTCTACCCCCAGAATAAAGTGCACTTCAAATCTAAGGAACCCTGAACTGCGTGGTAAGATATGACTATCACAGGTTTTAAAACAATACTAGTTTTCCTCATTGCTTTTTCCTCTTCTCTTACAGGGGCCTAATTGGGTGAGTTGTTATAGCTGCAGGCTTTTGTTTTAGCCTGGCATAGACACAGAGGTGATAATGAGAGCAGGGGCAGAAACACATTAGAAGCTCTCCAACCAGAACAAGTGTTTTTTACAGTATGTGGTATGTGCATGAGTGGGAGTGGATTAGTGGGTTTTGCCTGACCCTTACCGGCGAATAGGGCTACATTAGTTTGCTTGGAGTCGAATGGGCACCGCGCCAGGCCGTTGATCTCCTCCCCGTCGAATTCAAGGTTATCCAGCTGCAACACACACCCACACAGTAAGACACAAGGGACACGAAAACAACAATAAACAAAAACACCACAAGCATGAAAACGATCTCGTCAAATTTATTGAAAGTGGAATTATTGAAAAGGTGAGATTTACATAGGGTTAGGCTTGTCACCTGGTATGAACACCAGAAGAATAATTTTTGGGTCAGTATTTTTCATGTGTACATTTTCTTTGCATTACTGGGAAATTTGTTGTTATTTTTTGGCTATATAATAAAAATTAAGTCATAAAAGGTTCTTCTATGGCTAATTGCACATGCAAACTAAGCAGTTAAATGATTAACTCTGTTGTTTATGTATTGCAACTCATAATTTTTTTAACAATATTGTATTTTTGGATAGTTTTTGTGGTCTGTTCTTGGGTTATTGTGTCATTTTTAGTTTCAATAAAATGTCGTTCAGGCCCATCAATGGAATTTTTGGCTCCCCCCTATTATAAATTAAAAGGAAGAGGGTCCAATTCTGGGTCCTTGGGCTCACAACAACAGACCCCTTTGTCCCCCGTCTACTGCCTTGTTATCATTTATTGTCTATATTTACTTCAGTAATATATAGCATTTCACAATTTGTAATTTTTTGTTAGTGACAGGCCTGCGTGTGGCTGTGTTGTATTGTAGTGTATGGGAAAATTATAATGGAAAAAGCCATGGATACTGACCCTGTAGTATCGGCACATTGGGTTGAAGCCATTGGTGCCACAGATGAAAACCAAGTCATCATTTCGAGGAACAAGAACTTTGATGAAGTTGTGACATTCATCCTGCATACAAAAATAATAAAATTGTTTACCATCACATTTTAAACATTTATTAAAGCCCCTATGACAGGTTCGACTACTTATTTTTACTAAGACACAGTTAAGATTTTTGCATAAAGGTTCACATTTGTTTTCCCAATTTGACCATTTTTTAAAGTTTTACTAATGATGATCTGACAAATACAAATGTAAGAAAATACCTTTATTTTGAAATCACGTTTAAAATATCCCCCCAAAAATGTGTTTCGTGCGTGTAAACTGTGCAGAACCTTTTTTTTTGGACAGAATTCTCCCTAGTTTGATGCCCTCAATATGTTTAGAACTCTCTACCTTCTGTAATATTAAACATATTTTTCAACGTTTCTTCACAAATTGCTTCCTGGTTGGTGTAAAACTCATTTTCACAGCTTTCTGCGGTCATTAATCAAATCTGAATTCAAAATGGGCTTGCTATATTGCTTTAACAGGTGTCATTTTTGCACACACATTTCACCATCTCATTTTTTAAAAATATTGTGGACTCATGACAACTATTATTGACAATATAGCACTTTTAAGTCTTAATTCTATGGATGATGAAGTTGCACATTCATAATCCTACAAAACATCGTAATTAAATCGTACCGTGGGATGTATATCGTGAAAATATCGTACTGAGAGATTTGTATATCATTACATCCTTAACTGACAATGGGCAAGCATACTGTTTCTTTCTTTCGACACTCTACAAATCCTTTCCTGCGTTACTGTGAACTCTGATTAATCTTACATGGTTCGCTAAAGGCTGTGTATCTTGCCTTAGCGTGTGTATATTTTATTCAGTTGCATCCATATTAATATTGTGATCCCTTTTCAAAACTCATTAAATTGTATACATACCCTGTGCTTCCCTCGCACAGCGCACATGTTTCTGTCCGATTGACCCGACCGCCACGTTAACTTCTGCAAAACACAACACCACAATATTTAGACGTACACTACTATGACTGGCACACTACGGCTTCCAGTGTCTCATTTTACGAGCTGTCGCTGTTGTGATGAATGGCCCCTGTGTATTTGGTACAGGGCCCAAAAGACAGCAGCTCCAAGTCTGAATATTAAAGGGGTACATGCCACTTTCCACACATTTTGCCAACTTTGAAATTATTTTGTTCTCAGTGTAGAAACTAGGCATGTAAAAAAATATTGAATCATTGATATATTATGATACTTCATTTCTTATATTTATTAATTCACTTCAAGCTTATTTATATAGCACATTTAAAACACCTTCAGCTGACCGAAGTGCTTCATATACAAGTCAACAAAATAAAAGAAATAGTTACATATACATATATATGTGAAAACTACAATAAACACCAAGATATCCTGACTAGCTCGTACCAAATGCCAGGGAGAAGAGGTGAGTTTTCAGTCTAATCTTAAACTGCGTTACAGATTAAATGTGTCTGAATCGATTTTTAAAAGTCACGTTTTTCATAAAAAATTCATAGGTTAAATTTTATGTTCTCATGATTTAAAAATTAAATTAAGTGTATTTCATTACATTTTTTTCTCATGAATGTTTACTCAACCAAAATAGGATACATAATTATTTATAAGTCACGATATATTGGAAGGATATAACGGGATATATTGAATTGTGATGCGTATAGTATCACAAGATTCATGGCAATGCACCACCCCTACTAGAAACTCAAGTGACTAAAATGTGTTACTTAAAGGTGCACTGTGTAACTTTTTGTTTGGAGGGGTCCGTCACCTGCTTGTTTCTATGGATATGTCACTGCTCTGCTTGGAATATTTGCTTATAGGTGGTTTTATAGCTCAAAAATACTTAGAAAATCAGGTATTCTGACTGTGAGTGGGGTTGCCTCTCCACAGATCTGACCTGTAACTTGGTCTGGTTTGGTCTCCATGAAGGTAAAAAAGTTTAATACCATACTGTGAAACATTCCAGACAAAGCAATAACACCACCATAAAGAAAAGCATTTGACGGGTCTTCCACCAGAAAAGTTACACAATGGTTCTTTAAGTTGCGTTCACAATTGTCTTAGTTTGGTCCTGGTTTGAGCTCATGCTTAGTCCTTATTTAGGTTTTGGTACTCTTATGGGACCAAACCAAAATCTGTATACACACTAAATTCATTTTTACCTGTCTAACTGTGGGGAGAAAGCCCCATCATGTAAATCCTTTATTATGAGATCAACACATGATTTAAAGTTCAGATTTTGGTTAAACATTGGTTCAGGTTGGGTTTTGGTTACAGAGAGGCAAGTAGTAATTATGGATTAGACTCTGGGAAATATATGCAAGTAAATGTAATAATCACAAGAAGGACGAAACCCCAACATGTAACTTTAGACTTTAGACTTTTGTTGTGTGAGTTTGTAAAAGTGTGAACACAACCTAAAAAAACATGGACCAAACCAGGACTGAACCAGGCTGCTTAATTATAGCGCATAAATAGATTGTATATTGAAATGTTGTTTAAAGTACACTACCAGTCAAACGTTTTTACTACTTTCTACATTTTGTATATACACATAAGACATCATAATATTTAAAGTAAGGTATATGGAATTATGTAGCAAAGATAAGATTTGATTCTTGACATGCAAATCCTCAAATAATCATCCTTTGTTTTGTAGAAAAATATTTAGTTGGGTTATTTAACATTTTTCTTTACTTCAAAATGACTTGCTTCATATATGTGCTGTCTTCTGTGTGTATAAAAAATGTAGAAAGTATGAGACTAGACACAATTTCCACAAAACAAGACGAGATTGGGTTCACGAGAATGAGACAAAACGAGATTTTTAACATAATTTGTAATATTTCCATTTCACGAATCCGTTTCCAGTTTTGGCCTCACAATTTTGTCATTTCTTTGATTTCATATTTTTGTTTCCATTCTAACACTTTAGAGATATAACTCTCCAATACTTATCTCTTTTTATCCAATCCAAATGTAAAAGAAAACAAAAAAAATCTCATGAGATTATTTTTCTCATGCAATCTTGTGGCAATTTTGTCTCACGAGATCTCGTGCCATCCCTAGTGTCCAAACTTGTTTATTTGTGTGTGTATATGTACTGTGAAAGATTAGTTTTTAGATGAGTAATGCTATAAAGTAGTTTTCTTTTTCAGTTGATGTCTCCTGGCTTGAATCTTACCCGGTATGGGATGATCTCATTCCTGTAGCTCTCTCTCAAACTGACGAGGTACACTTGATCTCTGCAAGCACAACACACATCGTATCAGTGACACAGCAGCTTTTCCACACTCTGCCAGTACGACTCTGAATATTAATGTCCATTTACTAATAGACCGTTAATTACTTGTAGCAAAAGGGATAGTTTCAATTTTTAAAGTAGGGTTTTACATGGCTCTTATCAATACTTAATGCTCAGGTGTCCGCTGTCTGTTTTAAAGCCTCCTAATATACTGCTTATATTCTAGCACTAAAACACCAATGAGGCACCTGTTGTAATATCTGAACAGTTTAATCGTTTTTATTCATTGTTATTGTTTAAAAATTGCAAATTTTTGGGTAAGAATTTGTAATTAAATGTATTTTATTGTTTGGTTTTATTACATTTTATGACTACGAAAGCCAAATGGTCAGTTCTTGGTTTTATGCTCAGCACTTTGGACATGGTTTTGTTCGTAAAATGTGCTGTAAAAATACAAAAATTGGACTGAAATAATTAATGAATCTAGCATTTCATTATTCTGTCTTTATGCATTTGCCTGGTGCTTTTTTACAGCCGTTCTGAGTATTGGGTGGGGTAGGCCTGGACCGCTGCCAGTTAGTCGCAGGGCTGACATATGGGATACGCAGAAAACCAGTCACTCTCACATTCATTGACTGGAGTCTAAAAAACAATGGGTATTTCATATTTAGTCAAGAATATAATAGAATACCATAGACTGTATAGATAAATGGACATAGCTAACCCACTAGCTGCTGCATTCTAAACAGGAAGTGAGCATGGGGCCACTTCTGGCTCCATCGACTTCAATTGATTTTAAACTGAAAAACTGGACATAGGACCTCATTTCCTAGTTAGCCAGATTGTTGGACAAGTGTGGAGACACTTTTTTAAAATATTCCATCCATTCCTTGTATTTGCAGAGGTGGCTGGTGCTAGGCTAGTGCATGTCAATGGCCATAGTTAGCCTGCCAATAAAACAGTCTTAGCAAATCTATTATTACACCAGAATGGCGATGTAAATGTCTGTCTTGATAGAATAATGTTTGAAATAAAACTAACCTTGTATCGCATGAATTGTCACATGTTGAGGGACTATTTTCTCATATATCAGTCCACCGCTGCCAAGCTTTCTATCAGGAAGTACAACTCACTGCTCAGACATAAATCCTTCAAATGCAAGGTTGGTTTTACTTCTAAAATTATTCTATCAACACAAACATTTACATCGACAGTCTGGCATAATAATACTTTCGCTTCGGGTGTTTTGTGGAGTGGGTAAGACTGTTTTTAACTGCAGCCTAACTATGGCCATTGACATGCACTAGCTTAGCCTCTGCAAATACAAGGACTGGATGGAATATTTAAAAAAGTGTCTTCACACGTCTCCAACACTCTGGCTCACTAGGAAATGAGGTCCTATGTCCAAAATTCCGGACTGTCCCTTAAAAATGTTCATATTAACCTGCTGTACATGATCCTGGCATTTTTATTTCACTTTTATTTTGTTCGTAAATAAATTCCTAACATCATGAGCTTCATTTGACTGGAGCCGAAAACTATGGGTGATGTGAGTCTATGTGAGTCTATTGTAGGTTTGTTTGACATTAGTTTTCTCTGTATACTACATTGACACTACATTGCTGTTTCAATACACCACACCAATGTCAACTACAAATTAATGCTTTTCCATTTCCCATGTAAACAATTTAGCACAGACCTTTTATACTTGCCAAAATGCACTAAACAATTTACTTTGTAGTGTAAAATAAAATATAATAACCATGCTAATGTTCAGAGCCTTAACTATATTACTGACAAAGTACGCAATAACATTTTATCAGGCTGTAAAAGCATGTTACATAATTTACTGTAAACCACATGTGTTCTATCTCCGTCACCTGTTTTGTGTTTTACATGTGACAAGATGAACTCGCCTTAGGGGGCAAATTTTTACAGTGCACGTCAAGATGATTTCCAGCCACTGTATTAGCGCCTGTGGTCCGATTACTCCTATTGGCCATAAAGAGCTGCATGGACATACATAGATGCCAAGAAATCCCACACAAAACGTCAGAGCAGGATGACAAATGCCTTTCCCCGGATCGATAAAGCTATATACATCAAGATGCAGGCCTCCTAACCTCAGATGCAATATCACTAAGAGCTTTTCCCCACATCTCGCTGTTTACCCGCTCAAGGAGGGACGCTGCGTGATATTGGGGTATTGGTTTTGGGGGAGGTGTGAAGGAAGGGCAGAAGAAGGGGGTATTTACCTGCCAGCGATGAACAGTGTGTCCTGGATCTTGGTCATGAGCTGAAAGTCGAGGCGATGCTGGGACTCATTTCCAGAGGGCCTGCCTCTGAAGACGGGGTACCGGCGAGAAACTGTGGACAAACAATACACAAAGATTAGCATAATAAGGAGATAGCTACGAAATGTCCAAATTAATATGTTTTTGTTGAGACCCTTTAGTTTTTGTTATTATTCAAATACATAATTGTAGACTAAATGTATATCTGTATACAACAGGTCAATTGTTTATTCATTGGACAAGGTGGGTTGATTTTCACATAGGACCAAAATATATTCATACTAGTTTCACGCCTAAAGGTCTTTCATACTGATTGGTAGAGGTGTAGGCAATGTTTATATCCATTTTTATTACATTTTATTATTTCATGTTGTTCCTTTTTGCCTCTTAAAGATGCACTGCGTAACATTTCTATTGTAGGGCCACCTGCAGAAATGTGATTACTTTGTTTAGAATGTTCCACAGTATAAATTAAACCCATCGATCACAAGGGAAACAAGCAAATTACAACACTATGCTAGAAATCAGCTGGAAAGTCCCCCTGGCTGGAAGGTCCCCATCAATTGTACCCTTTATGAAACAAAGTTATTTAATCTATGTACATATAAATAAAAATAAACTAAACATTTTGGAGTGAGTGCCACAACTATTTCAGGATTTTATCTTAAATAATTCAATGAAATACATAGTTAAGACCTTAATAAAAGTGATTTTGAATGATTTTTGAACAAATTTATGTAGCTTTCTAAGTTTATTGGTGTTGTGCTGCTTACAAATTACGTTCATGGCAAGCAAGTAAAGAATTAATATTTCTTCCCAAATTAACAGTTACAGATGCTATAGGACAGGGGTCTCCAATGTTTTTCCTATGGTGAGCTACTTTTACAAAACGAAAATGCCAGAGAGTTTTAGCGATCAGTAAAAATGTTGTATAAGAGCCACAGCAGGCCTTAGATGAGGTACAGTTAAATGCCTATAAAACAAACCATTATCCATTTATTAGGGTACAAAGTTAGGCATCAAAATGATACATGTACAATCGTAATAGGCATTTAATTAATCAGATTTTACTTATTCACTTGGTAGGAGGTGGAGAGCTACAGGTTGGAGACCATTGCTATAGGACATGGGGAACAAGAAAAAATTATTTAAAGTACAGTTTCATAGTAAACTGCGAGCAAATGAGGATTATACTGATATTACAGACTGGAAAAATGTGTGCCACTTCAGGAAGATTGGTAAAATTACATAAATAAGGCCCAACATTTGGTCTTTACATTCACATTTCATTTAATTATGATATAGAAGCTGATTTTCTAACTCAATACATCATAGTAGGGGGACGTTCAAGCCTTTATTCGATACAGGTCAGATCTGTGAAGAGTCTGAGCAATAGAAACAGAGAACGAATAAATAATATTGAATAAATGATATGTGGATATGTTTAATGTTATACCATGGAACATTCCAGGCAAAGCAATAACATCTATAAGGAGGAAAGTATTTGATCGCACAGTGCACCTTTAAGGAAATCGAACACGCATTTGTCTTGATATTGACTTGTAAATGTGCGTGCTGTAGCCTCCGTGTCGCAACCTGACTACTCCTGCGTGGGATTACCAAATCAAAACAGTGAATCATGCCACTTTCAATAGATGCAAAACAAAACTGACAATTATGTTTACTTCCTGGTTTCCACCTCTTGAACATCAAACCATGCATTTTAAATCGCGACCTTCTCCGCTGCACCGCCACCATTTAGCGGCACCGGCTCACGACAGATAGCGTTGTTCCTGGAGTCTAAATTGAAATGCATTAGCGCAGATAGAACCAAATGAATCGACAAGGGATGCAAACAAGCTGTAATAGTGGGACTAATGAAAGCTGCTCCCGGCACTTAAGCACAGATCAACTTGTGAATTCAACTCCAGTCTACAGAGTTCATATAATTATACTGCATACGCTTTCTACAAATCCTTCAGCAATTAAGGTAATGGTAGAGTAGAAATATTGTATTCCTTATAATTATACGTGTCCCGTGCAGGCTTTGGTAATGGTAGCTTGCGTCAGCACATCTACGGATCTCTGTGTTGTTCAAAATCCACTTTATGTTTTGAGCTGACCAGGCAGAAGATTGATTTTATTACAATGGGAAATCTTAAGTTGATGAGGCAGAAGAACAGCTCTTTCCAGATACAAACTACAGAATTTAATTATGTTGTGCTTTATCTGAATACTAATTTGACGGTCTCGCTTAACGTGTAGATACAGGCTGTGTCTCATTGAATATGCGTCCGCACCGTCTAGGGATTTTAAGGGATTGTATTCACGTCGTGCGCTGACTTTATCGTTCGCTTCAAGGTCAAATTTGCATTATTTTACTACGCCTTTCTGTTCCACTTTATCTGCCTCCTACAATAGTGTGTCGTGATTTGCATATTCATTTAGCAAAAGGTTTATGCTGCTTATAATGCATCTCTGTGTGTGTGTAGCCAGCCATGGAGAATTGTACAAGGGATACGAAGAGTCTGAACCACTTGTAGCTACTTTAATCTTAGAATCAACAGTCCACTCGTTTATGATCCAAATCTTGTGTAGATTTTAGGGCAGATTGTGATTACAACAGTGGTGGAACGTACCAAAGTAAAAGTAGTAAAGTACTGTAGGAAAGCATACATTTTAGGTATGTTGCTTAACTAGATTTTAAAGTGGATAGTTTTTTTACTTTTACGTCACTACATTCAAGAGGAGGTATATATGTACTTTCAACTTCAGTACATTTTTGAACAGGACGGAAAAGTAAAAAAAAGTATTTGATTGTTTGAGACTTGCTGAAAAGGCTGTGGGGTATTTTTTAACACATTTGTAGCTTGAGCAAATAAAAATATACAAAGAAATTGTTTGAATTCAGCACAAATCTTTGTCAAAACCACTACATTTGAAGTTTTATTGGATCTCTGCATGAAATACCTTTTACTCCTTAAGTACATTTTTAAACAGGTACTTCAACGCTTTTACTTCGGTAGATTTTTCCATGTGATACTTCTTCTTTTTTTTTATAGTCTTAGTAAATAAATAAAGTTGAGGAATCATGATCAGTGTCTAGTATCTGGTTTTTACAAGTAGTATTTAATTCAAGGTAGAGCTTTTAGCATCAACACTAGTGAATGTTATTGTCAACTCCACATGCGTTTCACTGTGTGTGTGTGATTGTGTGTTCTTCTTTGCTTATCTGTGACTGTGTGTTCTGATTGTGTGTTGTACATGACATTTGCCCGACTGTGTGTTGTAACTATGCGTTCTTCTTGACATACAGTATATGTGATTGTGCTGTGATTGTGTGTTGTACTTGACATATGTTTGACTGTGTGTTGTCATTGTGTGTCCTTCTTTGCATATGTCTGACTATGTGTTGTAATTGCGTGTTCTTCTTGACATATGTGTGACTGTGTGTTGTAATTGTGTGTGGTGATTGTGTGTTCTTCTTGACATTTGCCTGATGTGTGTTATGATTGTGTGTTGTCTTTGAGATATGCATGACTGTGTGTGGTGATTGTGTGTTCTTCTTGGCATATCTGTGACTGCGTGTTGTTATTGTGTGTTGTACGTAACATATGTGAGATTGTGTGTTGTGATTGTGTGTTCTTCTTGACATTTGCCTGACTGTGTGTTGTTCTTTACATATGTGTGACTCTGTATCGCGATTGCGTGCTGTTCTTAACATTTGCCTGACTTGCCTGACTGTGTGTTATATTTGTGTGTTCTTCTTGACATATATGTAACTGTGTGTTGTAATTGTGTGTTGTGATTGTGTTATTCTTGACATATGTGTAACTGTCTTATGATTGTGTGTTCTTCTTGACATATGTGTAACTATGTGTCGTGATTGCCTGTCGTCTTGACATTTCCCTGTCTGTGTGTTATGATTGTGTGTTCTTCTTGACATATGTGTGACTGTGTTATGATCGCGTGTCGTCTTGACATTCGCCTGACTGTGTGTTGTGATTGCGTGTTTCTTACAGTGTGTGTCGACCACATCCAAAGCGGGCGTGTCCTCGGGGAAGCTGACCGCAGAGATGGAGCCTGTCCCCAGCAGCAGCAGCAGCAGCAGCGGCAGCAGAGCAGTGAGTATCAGCACAGCCCTCTGGCCCATGGCTGCTCTGTCTCCACAACCTGGTACTCAACACGAGATGTTACCTGCAAATACACAAAGAAGAAATGGATCAGATCAACAGGAAGAAGCTTAAAGATGCATTGTGTAACTTTCATGGTGGAGCGTCCATCAAATGCTTTACTTCATGGAGATGTTATTATTGCTTTTCTTTGTTTCACAGTGTGGTATTAAACCTTTCTATGTTCATGGAGACCAAACCAGACCAGTCAGAATATTTGCTTTGTTTTTAGGTATAAAACCACCTGTAATTGAATAAATGTAAAAGGTAGAGCTGTTTAATGTCACACTGTGGAACAAAAAAAGTCAGAGCAGTGACATATCCAAAGAAATAAGCATGTGATGGACCGAGAACTGAAAAGTTACATGGTGTACCTTAAAAATGCAGAAAATATTATGTAAAAAACAGAGAAATGAGGGTCAAGAGCCAGTTTTTCCTATTGATAATATTGCAATTTGCTATAGAATATCAACAAAGTGAATTCACAAATGTTGAATCTGATCATTTCTATTAGTGACCAGACCCAAGAACTCAATATATTACAACAAAAGTCTGCATTTTAACTATATTTATAATAATATATAAGCCATTTGTATTGGTCTACAGAATGATGAGATGCCATCTGAAACCAAGTAGTAACGTGTTTGTTTTGCTTATATAACAACAATGACAAAACATCAATATATTACACCATAAAGCAACTGTTGACATAAAACTCTTAACAGTTAAAGATACATCAAGCACATTTTATAAGCCCAACTTTAAACTATGCAAACTAAATCATTAATATCTCGCACCATTTATGGCTTTATTGCACTACACAATAGAAATGTGTGACATAGGGTGGTGATTTGTTTTTTATTAGCGATACACGTGAAAAGAAATATTACAGTAAGGGTAATTTATTCACTAGACATAAACCTTATATATTCTTGCAACCCTCGCATCCAGCTTGTTTATCTTCCATCATCGCTTATGCATAAAAACGCTAAACAGCCAAGTATCCTCTATATATAAAAGGGTCCTCCAGGGAGAAATTCTTCAAGCTAAACAGCAATATAGCGCGGTAAAAACTCATAAAATTGCACTTAATCCAACAAGCTGTGAAAAGCGTCAGTTTCTCTCCACTCTGATAGTTACCTTGGCCTATAATTCTGGAGTATATCGTGGATTTGACTGCTAAATGCGAGCCTGTTCGTTCACGTTTTTGTTGAGCCGCACAAGTTCGCCGACCTAATTCACAAAGCTGGCATAGACAGTTGCTAACATCACTGTATTGAATGCTGAGTGTAAAAGTCTAAAATGTGGTCAATGGGAGCCTGTGGCCTGGCCCGTGTAGCTGCTCTATTGATTAATGGGCGAGTTGTGGCAGTGTTGGCCGTTACCCCTGCCCTCTCTTTCTCTCCCTACTTTTCTCTCTACCCCCATCTGGCTCCTCTTCTCCCATTCTCTCTCCATATTTCTTTCCCTGCCTCCTTCTCTCCATTTCTTTTTCTGTCTCTTTCTCCCTTTCTCTCCTCTCACTACTCCCTATCTCTTTCTCTCTCCCTCTCTTTCTCTCCTAACTTCCTTCTCCCTCTCTTTCCCTTTCCCTCCCTACTTTCTCTCCCTCTCTTTCTTTCTGCATCTCTCTCCCTTTCTCTCTTTCTCCGTCTCTCTCTTTTTCTATCTCCCCTCTATCTCTCTCTCCTTTTCGCCCCCTCTCTCTCCTCTTGTTTCTTCTCGGTCTCCCTCTTTTATCTCTCCCTTCTCTATCTCTCTCTCGCCCTTCCTGTCTCGCTCCTCTCTTTCTCCCTCTCTGTCCTCTTTCTACTCCCCTATCTCTTTCTTTCCTCACCTCCCTCTCACTCTCTCTTTCCCTCTCTCCCTTCTCTCTCTCTCTACCTCTCTCTCTTCTCTTTCTCACTCCCGTTCTCTCTATCCCTGCCCCCCTCTGGTTCATCTCTCTCTCTGTCTATCTTTTTCTCTCTCTAAGTATCTCTTATCTTTCTTCCCCCTCTCTCACACTCTTTCTTCTCTCTGTATCCTTTTTTTTTCTCTCCCTTCTCTTTCTCTCTCTCCTCTCTCTGACCCTTTCCCCCCCCTCTCTATCTATCTCTCTCCTCTTTCTTACCCCTCTCTCTTCCTCCTTCTTTCTCCTCTCCCTTCTCTTTCCCTCTTTCTCCGCCTCCCTGTCTCCCTCCTCTCTCTCTCTCTCTTTCCTCCCTGCCCTCCTCTTTCTCTCTCTCTTTCCCCCTCTCCCTCTCTCTTTACATCTGCTGGTTCTGTCTGAGGGGAAGGTCATCCAAGTGACCGGTGGGGCTCCTCTCTCTTTCTCTCTCTTTCTCTCCTTCACTCCCTCTCTCTTTCTCTGGGTACAGAGGAAGTCCGCTCGGTCTGGGGCTCTGTGGTCCTGCTGTCTCTGTGCATCTGTCCCGCGTTTGGACCTCGCCGGAACTTCAACCATCAGCACATTTTCAAAACTCCATCACCAGCAACGACCCGAGTGACCTCAGAGCTGATCAAAAATGAAAAAAAAAAAAAAAAAAAAAAAAGATGATGCGGCTAAAATTTCAAACAGGTCTTTTGTTAAAACATTAGCCTCTTCTATCTCGCCTTAACTGAACTTTTACCATCTTTCAACACCTCTAACAATAAGGATTAAAACTTATATCGCCGTGGAGACAAGCAGATGGTGCCAGAAATCCAAGTTACAGGTCCGATCTGTGGAGATGCAAGCCCTCTCACAGCAGGTCTGCTATATTGTTCAATAAAAACGCCCGTAATTGAATAAATGCTGAAGTTTGATAGGTTTAATGCCATACTGTGGAACATTTCAGGCAGGGAAAGAATGCCAGCTTCATTAAGACAAGCAGGCGACCATCCACGATAAAAGTTACCCAATGCAGCTTTAAAAAAAATACCTTAATCAGAACAATAAAGTAAAAAAAAAAGTCACAAAATAAATAAATAAATTAAAAAAGAGTAAATAAAAAAAAATAAAAAATAAAATAATAATAATAATAATAATAATAAAAATTAAAATAAAAATAAAAATAAAATAATAAAATAAATCAAAATAAAATAAATTAAAATAAAAATAAAATAAAATTAAATAAAATAAAAACAAAATAAAATAAAAATAAAATAAAATAAAAACAAAATAAAACAAAAATAAAACAAAAACACAAATAAAAATAAATGCATCTATTTGAAGCTAGCCATTTCTGCATACTGATATATTTCAGTTTGGTTTGCCTGATTTGTCCAGCTTGGTGATTGTAAATAAAACATTACAGAGCCATATGCACAGCAAAATCTGTCAGGACATCGTTGTGACAAATCTCACTAAAAATTACTGTTAGCTTCGTGTAGCCCGAGTCTTTCCTGAGGGTGCTCTTGTGTAGTTTTGATATCTGCTGTTGTCTGCCTGTGGACATGTTACACAGGCAGATGTAGTAATCACTCGTATTGGGAGTGGCAGGAGTTTAGTTAATATGAGCGTGTATACTGAGCCGTGCTTTGGAGACTCAGATCTGTGCATAGTAATGATCAGTGTACCTTCAAATATTTATGAAGCAAGCTAATTATTCATGCGTGCAAAGCCTGAGCGGATATAAACAATTTACAGTTAGATGTCACACAGGGAAGACCACACGTCACCTGAATGCACACATGCACTGAAAATACTTAATGACGATTTATGTTATAAAAAAGGATTCTGTTTAAATGCTCAATCAAACAAATTGCTTGTAATAGGGTTTTCAAATATAAAATATCATAAATCGGATACTAATTGATACTAAAACTAGATACTCATTTGAGCGCTTAGAGAAGATTGGTAATATGACATAAACAAGGCCCGACATTTGGTCTGGTACATTCACATTTCCTTTCATTATGATATAGAATGCTAATTTTCTAATTCAATACACTACAGTGCGTGACGTGGCCGACTAAAGGCCGACGAGAACACCCCCCCCCCCTCCTGGGCACAGCAGTTACCCATGTGCTGCCCAAAAGAAGGGGGTGCTGTTCAAGCCGAGAGAATGGGACATTTGAGCTGGAACTTTCAAGCCAGGGGGACATTTGAGCCAGTATTCCAAGTATTGATTCCAAAAAAAGTTACATTCACAGGACAGAAATGAAACTTTCCTGAATAGTTTGTACCGTGGACCCCCTATATTTCACACTACATGTAAAATAATATGTAATGTCTTCTCCTTTGATAATGGTAAATCAGCTGGAAAGTCCCCCTGGCTGGAACCCTTTATGAAAGCAAGTAAGTTCAACAGTAAACATATAAATAAAACACATTCCTGTGGGCTTAATACATGTATATATAAATATAAATGCATTATGTAAGTTGATTTAATTTTAATTTTCTTTCTTGCTTGTTGTGTGGACAGGCTTTGTGAGGCCGCCAAACCACTGCTGTATCAAACCAAGTCTAAGACCAAATACTGGCCTTTAGTACGTGATGTATTGAGTTAGAAAATCAGCATTCTATATCATAATAAAATGAAACGTGAATGTAGCGAGACCAAATGTCGGGCCTTGTTTATGTCATTTTACCGATCTTCCCTAAGCGGCACAGTATGTAATTTCAATATAATCCTCATTTGCTCGCAGACGTTTACCATGAAATCGTATTTTAAATAATTTTTTTCTTGTTCCCCATGCCCTATAGCATCTGTAACTGTTGACTTGGGTAGAAATATTAATTATTTCCTTACCTGCTTGCCAAGAACATAATTTGTAAGCATCGCGCGACGCAAGAAACTTAAGAAGCTACAGAATTTGATCAAAAATATTCAGACTTGCATATGTAATTAATAAAATATATGGAATGTTTATGTATATAGATGAACTAAATTTGTTTCATAAAGGGTGCAGTGCAGGGGGACTTTCCAGCTTGGGGACTTTCCAGCTGATTTCCATAAGACCACGGTCTACTAAGCAACCTGTACTTGGACGACTGAGGGATTACACAGATATAACCACATGACAATATAACAAGTACTATTATTTTATGTTGAAAATCAC